CCCCCCCCTCCCCTTTTGCTTTTACTTTTCACAGTACTAGAGTAATTGTTACGGATTCATGTGACGTACATACCTTGGTAAGGTCCATGCGAACAGGACAGATGTTCGCGCGTTCATCGCTGGACAGCATGCAGCTGTTGCCACGTTGGAGCCAGCTCTGGTAGAGGGTGCGGCTTGGGAATCTCACGTCTAGTGCGGATGGACCGACCGCCGGTCCGCCTCTACTGTAGCTGCAGCTGGCGTTGACAGTAAAAGCCTCATTCTCTTCGACAGTGATATTTTCGCTAGCAGATAGCACTCGCTGGGCATACTGGATTACATTACAAACATTCAGCTCGCTTGCAGTGTCATTGTGAGACCTGAGCGCGAACACTGGAGGGCAGTAGACATCGTCTGGGGACTGTCGCAAGCTGAAAGATCGCGATGCATCGACTACAAGAGACTCGATTGCTTTGTTGCTGTAGGTCGTCGTGAAGTTGACAATGACCAGCCGCTCGCCATCGATACTCTGACGAATAAGGCCATTGACGTTATTTTGCCCGCACTTGAAGTAGATACAAAAACGGTTCGCCTCTGGAAGTACATAATATGCTACGTTACCGTTGTCCGCAAGTCTCCAGTCGTCCTGATCCGTCGGGCACATCATGCTTGCTGCCTCGCACTTCGGAACGGCACGATCATCATCACATCTGCCTGTCCTCGCAGATACTGACAGGATTGCTATGATAAGCAGAAGTGGCCCGGCTGGATACTTGAGTAGCACAATCGAGATCCTCATTTTCACTACCTCCTACTGGAGCTATAGTGCGGGGAGCAATGGCACACAAGAAAAAAGGGAGAGAGATAGACCGGATAGAGAGACCAGATAAGAGGAAGAAAGAAAGAGATGGAGAGACGACAGGGGCTGCGTATTCGACGAAGCTCTCTGGTAAAGCCACTGTCGAAATATAGCAGTTACACTCGTCTCCTGCCCTCCTTCACTTCCAGTGGAATATATAAAACAAATTCGAACCGATCCAGCCAGGAACAAGCCCTACCAGATGGAGAAATTTGCCACCCAAGAACACGAAGGAGGATTCGTGGCGCTGCATGCAGGGAAGTTTGGTTCAAACTGTGGCGCAGCTTTGTCGAGAGAGCCATAGGCGGAGCGGTCTGGCAGATGCGCGACTGCCACTGCATAATGGCCGCGTGCGTCAATGCTGTCTGCACTGTCAGGCTTGTACTGCATCACACTTCCCTGCTTTGCACATGCCGCAGCGATAGGACTGTGATGCACCCCTGCCGCGGGATGTGCACCAACACTGCACAAACATCCCGCATTGCTTGCCAATGCCCGAGGAGGCAGGAAGTGGAACGTGGAAGTGATAATTGCAACCCCCTGAAACTAATGACTAATCCGAAAAGTCATTAGTTGAAAAATAGCACTGAATAAAACCGATTGTGCACTCATAACCGTGTCAAGCGATGGAAAAGAATGTGAAGTAAAATGATGGAAGAAGGAAGCAAGTTTGGTGTAGCCAAGTTTGGCCGTTAGTGTTCTATTTGAAGTGTATTATTATTATACGCACGTCCGCGTTTACGTCAACAGTAAGTCCACGTATTCGCATGTGCCAGAAGACGGGCAGAGTGTGCGGAGAGTAAAATATAAAAAATGAATGAAGTGTATTGCTGTTTGTATTAGCACCCCGTCCTTTTTCATTTGTTAGTACACGCCCATCGTGTGCGCTCACGCCTTTAGCGGTTATAATCCACACTTGTATAATTTCAGTGCTGTTGTTGTTGTTGTTGTTGATTTTTATTTTACTTCGCAAGGCCAAACGGGCAATCGGGTGCCCAATTCTATGGAAGCGAATTTCAAAAGGGAGAGAGCTACGGGGGGAGAGAGAGAGAGAGAGAGAGAGAGAGAGAGAGAGAGAGTGAGAGGGGGGGGGGGGAGGGAGGGAAATGATAGGCAATTTTGCAGCGTCAACAGAGCGATTTTGCAGTGTCAATAGAGCGATTTTGAAGCGTCAACAGAGGGAACATAAAGAGTTCATAAGCGCACAAGCACGCAGAGAAGAGTAAATGACGTGGTGTGTGGACGGGAAAAGTCAGACAGAGCATTCATTGCAAGGTGTAGGGGATGGAGGCAAGCTTAAATTGCTGGGCAGCCTTGATCTCCCTTACACTCCTTGGGAGAGCGTTCCAGGCCAAGGCTGCCTGAAAGGCCAGGCGAGATCTGCCGGCTTCTGACTGTGCCGAGGGGACAGTGAGGCCCCTGGAAACCTGGTGCCGGGTGGTGCTGCCAGCTGATGGTGAGAATAGGTCCTGGAGGACACTGCTGGCTTTCCCATTGACACAGCGCCACACCAGGACAAGCCGCTTCTGGGCGTAGCACTCGCGAACTCTGTACAGGGACATCCGTTCGAGCAGAGGCTGAGCCGAGGTGTGAGGCGGCAAACCGTATACCGCTCTCGCCGCTCGGTTCTGCAGGACCTGAAGGCGATCAAGCTGCGAAACCTTGAGGGAGGAAGAGAAGGCGTTAGACCCATATAGGAGGTCAGGCATGATGACTGACCTCACATACTGGATGCGACTACTGAGGCTCAGACATCTGCGGGACCGCCACAATGCTCCAATCTTCTGCACAACGTTCTTCGCCATCGCGTCAACATGGGGGTCCCACTTCACAGCGGCGTCAAGGGTCACGCCGAGGTACCTTGCTGTTGGGCTCAGGGGAAGCTCTGTCTGGTTGCAGGGGACAGCGACATGCTGACCCGCATTGCGTTGTGGTACAATTGACAGGACCTGGCTCTTCTTGTCATTTAGAAGCAGATGTCGATGCTTGAGCCAGTCAGCGACGTTGGTGACGGCCCCTGATAGGCAGGCTGATGTGGCTAGCACTGATTTTTTGTGGCAGTGCACGGCAATGTCATCGGCAAATTGCAGAGATGGAGCAGGATGGGCTATGGCAGGGACATCACGGGTGTACATGCTAAACAGGATCGGTCCTAGGACCGAGCCCTGAGGTACACCAGATGAGCACGTAGCAGCAACACTGTAGGTGGGGCCAATGCGCACTTGCTGGGTTCGATCGCTTAAGTAGCTGCAGAACCAGCGAAGGGAGGCATTGTCCAGGCCGAGATCGAATAGGTCCCGTACCAGTTGGCTGTGATTGACCTTGTCAAAGGCTTTTGACATGTCGATTAGGCAGACGCCTGTGGTCAACTTGTCGTCCCGGGCCTTTAAGATGGCATCTGTTGCTACAACTAGGGCGTCCTCTGTGGAGTGCTCACGGCGGAAGGCAAACTGAGTCGGTGGTATGGCACATGATCGCTCCAGATGTGCAGCAAGTTGCTTCTGGACTATCTTCTCGAGTATTTTGGATACGATCGGCAGGAGCGACACAGGACGATAATTTGCAGCTACCGATGGATCGCCAGCTTTGAAGAGAGGGCTTATTACAGCATGTTTGAAAGCCAGAGGGACTTCACCATGCCTCAGCGATGAGCTGAAGAGCACTGAAAGCGATGGAGCCAACAGGTCAGCGCAAGCACGTAGCAGACACCCAGGAATCCCATCACTGCCTGTGGCTTTGCAGGGATTTATCCGTTCCAGGAGGTGCTTGACCTCATCTGGGGTGGTTGACTGGAAGGTCAGCATTGAGCCTTGCGGCTGTGGACCAATGGGAATCTGGAGCTGCGCCGGACGGGACGGATCATGTACAATGCTGTGGAAGGCATCCGAGACTTCTGTGATGTCGCACGTTGGCTGATGATGTTGACGAGAACGGCTAGTGACAGAGTTGATCACGGACCACATCATCCGCAGGTTGGAGGAGTGATCACGACACTGCTGTTGGAAATGCTGATTGCGTTTTCGCCGGTAAGCATTTGAGGCTTCTGCACGGGCTCGCTTGTACTCCTCATGTAGATGCACGTTAGTCTTATCTCGTAGCCACTTTCGGTGAAGTCTATTCTTGCGCATGTTCAGTTGGAATAGATCACGGTCGGACCATGGCGGGGGAGTCCTCCTGGTGGAGATTCTGACTTCACGCAGGGGAGCGTGATTTTCGAGAACCGACATAAACTTGGCATGCCAGCCATTCCACATCTCGTCTACAGTTGCAGCAGGGGGAAAGGAGTGGAGGCTGCACGAGGCAATATCTTCACGAAATGTTGCAAGGTTAATGGCACGGATCTTGCGGGTGAGGCGCACTGATTTCCGCTGCAGTGGGTGTTGCGAGGAGGGTAGAGACAGACTTGCATGCACAAGGAAGTGATCGCTGATCGTGCAGGGTACAACTTCACAATGACTTATAGTACCCACGGTGGAGAGCACTAAATCAAGCAGCGTTCCATCCGGACATCGGGGTGTGACTCGTGTGGCAGACTGGACGTAGTTGCGGAGCCCATACGATCCGATAAGGTCCCAGAAGCGCTGGTGAGGACGACTGGTCATGCATTGAGCCAGATTGATATTAAAGTCACCCACCAGTGTTATTGATGGCGTGATCGTGGCAGCATTGTGGAGGACTGTGTCCAGGTGGCCCCAGAAATCAGCAGTTGCATTTGGTGGGCGATAGAGGCAGCCAACGAGGTGCTGGTGTTGCCCTCCGCCAATAGCTATCCAGGTAGCCTCCAGGTGGCTATTGTGCAGATCAGAACGATAGGTAACTGGGAGTGATGTCTTGTAATAGAGGCATGTGCTCCCACCCTGGCGATCGGGCCGGTCACAGCGAACAACACTGTAGCCGGGAATACAAATTTCGCCATCCGAGATTGTACTATCCAGCCAGGTCTCAGCAACGCCAACGACGTCCCAGTTGTGCTGGTGGGCAAGGCTGTCCAGTGCATGCAGCTTGTAGCGCAGGCTGCAGATATTCAAAAACCCGATGTTGAGGCTCGTGACGAACAGTTTGAGGTTGTTGCAGTTGGTTGTTCTTTGGGAGCCCCGGGACCTTCGAGGCTGGAAGGGAGTAGCATTGGGGTTTAGCAGGGGTATATGGCTGGCAGCAGACATCACTGTTTGCTGACTGGAGCCACGCGCTTTGCAGCTTGGTCTTCAGCGGGAGAACCACGCTGGTGGGGTCGTGACTTCTGCCCAGGGGTCCGAGTTAACTCGGCGCCGGGTTTGGGAGAACTGTCGCTGCTGCTATTGCGGCGGCTGCTGCTGCCGCTCCTGCCACAGTCGTTTCCGCTGCTGTCGTCGCCACTGCCATCGTCCCTGCTGCTGTGGGCATTGTCGTTGCCGTCGCCACTGCCACCGTCACTGCTGCTGCTGCCGCCACTGCCACAGTCGTTTCCGCTGCTGTCGTCGCCACTGCCATCATCCCTGCTGCTGTGGGCATTGTCGTTGCCGTCGCCACTGCCACCGTCACTGCTGCTGCTGCCGCCACTGCCACAGTCGTTTCCGCTGCTGTCGTCGCCACTGCCACCGTCACTGCTGCTGTGGGCATTGTCGTTGGCGTCGCCACTGCCACCATCACTGCTGCTGTGGGCCTTGTCGTTGCCGCTGCTCTTCTTGGGTGGATTGAATTTCCATGTCCTGCAGTAGAGAGGCCGAGGCCAGAAGTTGGCAGAGGTCACAGTGGCCAGGCAAGCTGCATCGATGGTGACCCTGGCGGATACTTTGCCGCTAGCTGCCGTGTGTACATTGCATGAGTGGACATCTATGATTTTCCCTGTGGCTGCTACAGACCGGCGGTGCACAAACTCCGTGAGACCCTCCATTGTGCAGGTGCTGCTAAGGTTGCCAACAAACACTACTGCTCTCCGGCGTCTTGGTGGGGCTGCAGCGACCAGCTGCCAGCTGTCGTCATTTATGGCATCCACTTCCTCTTGCTCTGTGTTGCCAGTTTCAGGTTCAACACTACCTGCAGCGGCCGGTAGGGTGTCTTGGTTAGGCCCAGCGTTGGCAGCAGTAGCACCGAAAACGGGCTTGACACTGACAGGCAGGAGTCCAGTATCCCCTGCATCAGACTCAGAATACTCCATTTCTGTGTCCCCAGAGGGTACTGTCTTGGTTGCGTGCCAGGGTGTGGTGGCGCTACGGGTACGGGGTTCAGTGTGGGTTCCCACGTGTTTTACCTGCTGGTTTGGCAGTTTTGCACTGTCACTTGCGCGTGGCTTTGACGGTCCAGGACTACTGGTACGGGTACTCTTACTCGTAGTACTACTACTACCTGCACTCTTGATCTCCTTGCCCAGCTCGCTTTTTGAAAATGGTTGCTTGACTGCCATAATGGACTCCTTCAACGATTTCATTTCTTGCCTTAAATCCAAGACCAGGCCGGCGAGCTCGTCTACTCTCCGCTGGAGGCGTACTTCGTTGTTTCTGGCTTCACTGACGAAAGCATTCAAAGTATCTACAAGGCTGACCACGTTGTGATGTATTCCGGGAATGCTACAAAGTAGCTTCACCTGCTCCGCGCTTGAGAGCTCACCCATGGCGCAAAGATTCTCGTTGTGCACAACCTAGCTACCTAACTACACTACTGCAACTGCTGCCACTACTACTACTACTGCTACAACCTACCAAAAGGTTTCAAGAACTGGAGCTCAAAAACGCGTACCTTCTTGACAATCATCCCCTTATTGCTGTTAGAGGTGTTATTAAAATAAAATATAAACGAGAGAGCTTGGAAGCTCAGGGCCCTACGCTATGCTTTTTTGCCATGATGACCTAGACAAAAAAGCATAGGGATTTATTTATTTATTTATTTATTCAACATCTCCTGGCCCGTCCGAAGACTGCCAATAAACATGAGAGGTCAGGTGATAGCCAACCACGGCAAGCTAAAAGGGAGAAAAAGAAAGATGCTGTCAGAGAGGGAAAGGAGATAGGGAGAGAAAAAGAAAGGGAGGCACATTAGTAATACATGGGATCACTTCGGATGAGACAGTGTGGAAAGCTGGACTTTGAATTTCCTGATATCCTGGCATGTCTTAATGCTAGTAGGCAGGTTAGACCAAAGGGAGTATGCTGAGAAGAAAGGGGATTTCAAAAACAGAGAGGAACTAGCTCGGGGCAGTGATAAGGCATTGCGTGTTGGTCTAGTGGTAACAAACCAGTTGTACTGGCAATATGTTTCGGGACTTGGGCTAGGAAGATTTTTTGCACAAGGATACAAAGATGCTGCTGATGTCGGGCAAGAAGAGGGTGCGTGGAAGCAAGTTTATAAAGACAAAGGGAGGCAAATGTTTGGTCTTTTCGAAACAGAATTTTCAGAAGCAAGCGTTGATGTACTTCCAGTCTGTGGAGTAAAGTCTGAGACAACCCGCACCAAGCTATATCGCAATAGTCAAATATAGGCAAAATGTACGACTTAAAGAACAATTTTCTGCAGTTATCATTCAAGTGTTGGCAGTGGGGTTGTAGCATACCTAAGGACGCACTCGCACGCTTGCACACAGACTGGACTTGTGGAGACCAGGAGAGTTGGCGGTCGAGAATAACGCCCAGGTGCTTGTGCTCGTTAACAACTTTAATAGGTGTACTATTTAGACCAGGAAAATACAGAAGCTGAGTGGGGGGCGAGGGAGAGAAGAACATGGCCTCGGTTTTGGCGAGGTTAGGCTTCAGTTTCCAGGTTTCCATCCATGTTACTGTAGCGTTGACCCCGGACTGCATGGAGGCCGTGAGGTTGTCTGCCGAGCTGTCGGAGCACATCAGAGCAGTGTCGTCAGCAAAAAGACTTACATTTGGTACAAGGGCTGGCAAGTCATTAACGTACAGTAGAAATAGGAGCGGCCCAAGTATGGACCCCTGGGGTACCCCAGACACGACTAGTAATGGGTCTGATAGGGAGGATGTTATAAATTCTTTAAAAAACCTGGGATTCGAACCCGCACTATCGCGCGCCCTGCATGCATCCCCCGATACACTTCGCATACATACTAATTCTTCCAAGTTGCTTCACATTGTGATCTTGCATTTGAAAGCCCTATTTGAATATGCATTGTGGCCAGCCGTCTTTGATGGCACGGTACGGTAGGGGATAGGTACGGGACAGGTACGATGGAGGGTAATAAGACACCGTCTCCCGTACCGTACCGTACCATCAAACACAACTGGCCACATACAGCTGCCCGCAATATTAGGGCTTTCAAACGCAAGATCATAAGGTTTTTTTTTTTTTTTTTCCTAAAAAACACAGCCCTACTAATAATCAGGGGAAGAGGACAACTGAAATGACACTGGACAATAAGACAAAGGCGAGTAGGGGCGATGTGCCGATGTGGTTGGCGAGGCTCATCCGACCGCAGGTCTCGGAATCATAGCCTACGACCAGACAGCGATAGGAATGTAGCTAAGGAGGGAGGGAGATCAAGTGAGAAAAAGAAAGAGAGAGAGAGGGGGAGAGGGAGAGGGAGAGAGAGAGAGAGAGAGAGAGGGAGATAGATAGATAGATATGTAGAGAGAGAGAGAGAGAGAGAGAGAGAGAGAGAGAGAGAGAGAGAGAGAGAGAGAGAGAGAGAGAGAGAGAGAGAGAGAGAGAGAGAGATAGATAGATAGAGAGAGAGAGAGAGAGAGAGAGAGAGAGAGAGAGAGAAAGAGAAAGAGAGAAAGAGAGAAAGAGAGAGAGCGAGAGAGGTAGAGAGAGAGAGAGAACGTGAAGCAACTTGGAAGAATGGGTATTAATGCGAAGTGTATGGGGGAATGCATGTAGGGCGATAGTGCGGGTTCGAATCCCAGGATATGCCTTAAAAAAAATAGGAGAATTGAAAAAATTATAACATCCCTATGCTATTTTTGTCGTCAGATACGGATAGCGCCAGGCGTGACACAAACAAACAAACAAACAAACAAACACACAAATACCAAATTAAAGCTGTGTGGACCCTGGCTAGCGCCAGACGTTACTGAAGTAACGTCTTCTGCATAGCTACGGGAATAAATTTCACGATTCACGTGAGACTCGGCTTGAAGCCGAGTTTTCCGCATCCGCCGCGGGAACGCCACCAACCTCTAGGATCAAGGCGCAGATGTAGCGCCTAAACGGTGGGAGGTGAGTAGATCAGACCCACCACCAAGTTGTCAAAGACCGAAATCCCATTAGCTTCATCCATAGGTGTTATTACCTCCTATTTTTCTTTTTCTTTCTTTTCACCATGTTCACATTCCCAGCTCGGAAATAATAAAGAAAGACAATGGTACTGAGACTAGGACAAACGTGACAACTACTGAGCAGGGGCTGCACCGAGACGCAGCAGTGATGGTAGGGCATTGATGGCTCTGCCGAACTGAGGTCTCGGCACAACGGCCGAAAACACGCACCAAAAACACTATAGATAGAACCGTACGGGTCAGCAAAATGAAAAAAAGGAAGGCTATTTAAAAAAAACAACAGCGAGTGTGCGGGAGAAACCATGATGCTATGAAAAATTACAGGGGTTCTGACCGAGAGGAGCATCAACATGGCTGATCATGCCGAGTCGATTGTCCCAGCCAGTTGTGTTGCATAGATAGGGATAGACGAGAGCAGCATCATAGCGAATCGATTGCCCAGAGCCAGTTTGTGCTCCGTAGATGGCGATAAGCACTCGCTTGAATTCTGTTGCTGCATGACTGTGTACGACTTAGTACTAGCAGGTAGAGACCACGTCCAGGGATAGCATCGGCCAGGGCTGGGTGTTCCATGATTCAGTCAAAGCCCCACATATTAAAATAGGGAAACCAAGTAGGAGTCCAGATTGAAAAGGAAAGATAACAACATTTAGAACGAGGCCTGTCTCGTTGTCCAGGAGACAACCAATTGGTGACGTTCCCGCCAAGGGCCTTATCAGAGGTTTAAAAAGCCAATCGTAATTTTTACTACTCTTTGATGACCCGTCTAGGGCCTTGGATTAGTTAAAGCTCTCTTGTTCGCGGCAGACTAAAACTCATGGGGCAAGTCATTTCATAGCTTGACGCCAGCAACTAAGGGGCGACAGTAACCTGAGTAGCTGTAAGGGTGGTTTTCATTGGCATGTGTGCACGTGACCTTTTCTTTTGCTAAAGTGATAAAAACCTCTTGTCAATGCCATTCCAACCTGTGTAATCCACACATTTCCAACATTGGATTCTAATTTTATTCTGTGCAGGGGCAAATACGTGCCAATAACGTCATCAAAAACAGATTTGATACATAGCAGATGGGATAATGCCGTATATTATTTATATTTTTTTATTTATATTTTATTTTATTATTATTATTTTAACAGCAACGCAGATGATGATGATGATGATGATGATGATGATGAAGCCACTTCTTTGGGCAAACAAAACACAATTTCCCAAGATGAAGGAGTGGAACCCTACACAAATAATAGTTTAAATGAATCCAACGCAAAGATCGTTTTTCCATGAAATACAACAATTGAACACAATTACATGCTTAAAGGCATGAAAGCAACAAAACAGCAACAAAAGGGTAAGCGCCATACCAATCCCACATGCACAGTCAGGACACAGCACGATACTTAACAAACTAGACCTGACTCGGCCACGGCAATCGAGACATCATGAAAACATCTCGCCGGATGGTGGTACCGTGACCGAGCCCCACGTATGCACAACACAGCAGCACGCAGCAAAGCAAAAGACAGCCGACAGCGGAGTAAACCAATGACCTGGGAATAGTGAGATCCCGATGACTCGGCCTGCATCTGGCACAGTCTCTTGAGGAACACATTGCACAGCCTCCCACAACCACCATGCACAGAGAACACGAGAGGTGTGAAAGCGGCTCTTTCTACATTTGTGACTCTTGGCCCATATTCGTTCCACTTACGCCGCTCGTGCTGCTGGTACAATGCAGGAAGGGTTCTGGACCCGTAGGAAGGAGCATCTGGGCAAAATACCCTTACATCAAAAAAAGCTTCCTCCCCACGGGTCCAAAACCCTCGAGCGGCTATGTCCAGGCGCGCATCCTCTCGGCGGTTCGTTGACCGAAGAGGAAACCTCTCACCAGAAAGAGGTTGTAGCGCTGGTTCTGTCGAAACGGCAGTGCAGACTTCAGTCAATTCCCTCGCCAGCAGGTCACGTATCTCGTTATGACGAAGTGTCGGGAAGCCGCCCCTGGCGCAACATAGCTGATGCTCAACTGAGAACAGCTCACCACACACACAGGTTGCTGGTGTATTGGCTAGCGGCCATGCATATCTCAATGCCAGAGCATCCCGGAAGTCACGCTTGGTGAGACGAAAGCCATGCTCCGCCAGGGGCAGCACGCTCAGCCATGAGGATGATCCTTTCTCCGTGTGTTCTTCTATTCGTCGCTTCGTCATCTCATCGCTCGTGTCCACTATTTTGTTCCTGGCTGCCTTTGCGCGCTCCCGGTTTTCGGTGTGGACGACACGCTTTTTGTGACGCATTTCATCGATCATCCTCTGAAAGGGGGTACCAGCACCAGCAACACCAGCAGCCACATCCGGTCCAGGGTTTGAGTTGCCAGCGACCTCCCGCG